AGGGGTGCAATCTCAGTAACTGGAGAATGGAGGAACTCTGGACCTAGATTTCACCCTGTCAAGTAAATGGGCTCTAGAAGCTCAGTAAGAGGAGATGGGTGAGACTTTTTGAGATCTCTGAGTACTTCCACTGAAATAGAAATACAAAAGGCTTCTAAAATCAGAGACTGTGCAGTTGGCTTTTCCATAGAAAGGGAATATTTCCTTCATGATCAGAGAGGCAGTAGCTGGTACGTGAAAGGAAGGGGGAAAATAGTGGAGAGAAGACATAGCCTCTCTCTCTCTCTCTCTCTCTCTCTCTCTCTCTCTCTCTCTCTCTCTCTCTCTCTCTCTCTGTGTGTGTGTGTGTGTGTGTGTGGTGTGTGTGTGGTGTGTGTGTGTGTGTGTGGTGTGTGTGTGTGTGGTGTGTGTGTGTGGTGTGTGTGTGGTGTGTGTGTGTGTGTGTGTGTGGTGTGTGTGTGTGTGTGTGGTGTGTGTGTGGTGTGTGTGTGTGGTGTGTGTGTGTGTGTGTGTGGTGTGTGTGTGTGGTGTGTGTGTGTGGTGTGTGTGTGTGGTGTGTGTGTGTGTGGTGTGTGTGTGTGTGTGGTGTGTGTGTGTGTGGTGTGTGTGTGTGTGGTGTGTGTGTGTGTGTGTGTGTGTGTGTGTGTGTGTGTGTGTGTGCTTGTGCATGTGGAATCCAGAGGGTGAACTCGGATGTTGTTCCTTAGGCATCATCTACAATTTTTGGAGACAGGATCTTTCATTGGCCTGGAACTTGCCAAGTAGGGGAGGCCAGCTGAGCAGTGAGCCCCAGGGATCCATCTCTTTCTGTCTCTCTGACACTGAGACTTTCTGCCTCTCTGAAACCTGCTTTTTCTTGTGCGCTGGAGCTCAAAATCACTTTGTTATTTGTGCTTGGAAAGCAAGCACTTTTCAGACTATCTTTTTAAAGCATTTATTTTTCAGACCTTACCTCATCCTATCTATTTTTAAAAGGTATTTGCAAATAGTGTCCTGTTAAGGGAAAAGGAATGATTTGAAATTGACTATTTCCATAGTACCCTATTTAGATACAGAGCTAAGGAAGGATCTACGTAACTCTTCTAATCACCATGATGCAGTTCTGACTCTCAGGGTTCCTGGTGATTGTCTAAGCTTTGGATGGAGTCATGTGGGATAGGCCCAGGTGACAGAGTGGATCATGTTTCTCCTTTAGAAACCTGTACTGCCCTCCAACCCTGGACCCCCCTTTCACATCCTGGAGCTCAAGCAGGAGCTGTTAGGTCTTCTCAGTCAACAAATGAAGATTGGATGACCACAGAGGTCTTGCACCAATCATGTTTCAGGCTCACCCACAGACATCTAATTAAGATTGAGGATTCCCTGGGCAGAAAGAAACCAGGTGTTACAGTTCAGGCTTTCAAAGACTAGTGTTCTGGTCCTATTGCCATCATTAAAGGTTGGAGTGCTGTGATGCCAGAACTGGAGATGTGCTGAGATGGTCATCTGTAGTTTGTAGTTCTCAAACATGAAGAACCATCGGAATCACCTAGGGTTTTTTTAAAATTACAGCATTAGAATCTTTCGGAGGCCCTTGGGTTTTGGAGTACATTAATGATGATGGCTTGCTTGAGGTCTTCCAGAGCATGTCTGTGACAGGTGGGTGATAGGAACACCTTCTCATCTTCCTCCTCTGACTGTATTTTCTAGTGATCATGATAAACCTCGTGTTCCTTGAGCATATCATGTGGTGGGTATGTGGCACCTCTAGTTTCACAAGAATATATTGTCATTTACTCCCTAGCCAGTTCTCTCTATTACTTGGCCAGGTAGGATCAGGTAAGTGGTCAGGGTAGATTGTTTGTAAAGGGGAGCAGTGGGTGTACCGAGGCAGGGATATGGTGGTGTTGGTGGAGGTGGTAATGGTGACCATATCAGAGACGTTGGTGATGGTGTTCCACGATACAGGAATAGTAACTGGAATCTAGACCAGTACCTGCGGCAGCAGGGAATGCCTGAGACTGGGCTGTCATTGATCTTATTCACTTGACAGTTGTGTGAGTCAGCTACTTTTAAAAGGCTGAGAACAGAGTGAACATATATAAATCAAGGTTTTATAAATTAAATATTTCCATTTGACTCACACTATAATTTCAGAGGCATTAAATCTTTATCCTGAATGACCTTTCATTGTCAGAGATGGACTATTTTAGCCTTTAGTTAAGCGCCATCCTGTTTGCATCTGGAATACATGGTTATTTTGTAAAAGAACTCCTAAGGATTACTAGAATTTATACTTAAGTAATCACTTCATAAAAAAGTAATTGCCATGCCTGAAAATGCATTAAATATTCCTATTTTTCAGCAGATGAAATTTTCTTTCACTGAACATTGCACGGGAAATATGCAATACCGTTCTGTGGGGGGGGGTCATATCTAAAGGCATTAAAGAGGCAAGTTATCTCTATATTCCATTTTCATTGGTATGTCAGTAGATTATTCAGTTAGGGAATGAAAATAAATAATAAAAATAAAACAATGATGTTATAGACATTAAAGTGTCTAAAAGAACCGTTTTACCTATAGGAAAAAAATTCTTCCTGGAGCTTAAAGTTCTTAGGAGGAAATGGGTTCGTCAAAATATTTAAAGATATATTATATCATAATTTTAATGTAAATTCAATGAGATAAACTGACACAACAAGCCTATGTACAGCCCAGTACTAACATCATTATTTTATTTTCCTGTGTCCTTTTTTTTTGAGACAAGGTTTCGTGTAAACCCCTCTGGTCTCAAACTTACTATGTAGTCAAGGATGATCTTGAACCTCTGATTTTCCTGCTCCTGACTCCTGGGTAACAATGGGATTGCAGTCATGCACCACCTCACCATAGTTTGTGTGATGCAGGGACTCAAACCCACGGCTTCACATACGTTAGGCACAGTACTCTACCAACTGAGCAACATCTCCAGACTAGCCTATGTAATTTTTCCAGTACTTTTGTCTTTAACATCACCTTTTTGGTTGCTGTTGAGCAATGTAGATGCCGAATGCTTTCTGGTACCCACAGCAGTCTCCTTGTTTCTATTTTACAAAAGAAGAAACTAAGATCTAAGAGGTTTTAAGCGACCCATCCAAGAATGAATCCCAGATCTAAGACCCAGAGCCGGTTCTTCATGTGGCACCACACTTGCTCAGAGACATGAATAATTATTCGGGGAGCATCTGAACTCTTTCCTTCCCTCCCCTCCCCTCCCCTCCCTTCCCCTTCCCTCCCCTTCCCCTTTCCTTCCCTCCCCTCCCCCTCCCTCCCAACGTTTTCTGTGCTTGTGGTACCACCTCTGCGCAAGCAGAATCCTGTCACCAACAGCTCTGACCCTCCACAAGGATGCCCTGCCCCCTAGTGGAATTCTGCTCATTTTGCCCAGTCCCATCCCCCCACCCCCAGGAAGAAAGTCATTTTTTTCCTATTGCTCAATTATCTGTTGTAGCTATTTTATCTTAAATATTTAAAAACATAAAAACCATTTTCTGTCACATCTCTTCTAATGTTGAAAGATATGCTTATTTCTAGGGGGACAACTGAAAAGCCCCGAAGAGGCTCTGAACACACTCCAAGAACAAGAATTCATTGTCCTAGGGTTGAATTCAGCATGGCTTCACTGTTCTCTGTGGTTAATAGTGTATTTCCAGTGTCTCTCCCCAAATCACATTTACAGGCTGGAGATATGTCAGATCATATTAGGACGACTCTGAGAAACTTAGTGGACTCTCCTGGGCTCCCTAACGAGATAGGAAATATATTTAAGACAGGATATTCAAATAGATCTGAATTTTTCCTCTGATCTTACCTTAATTCCTTTGCTTTAAGCAATTTTCTAATGAATCCCTTTCATTTTGGTACTGTTAAATATCATCACAGCATTAACATGCATAATTGAATGGCCTCGGTTTAATTAGGAGAGACTTGGGTTAATATTGAATTGGGCTGCAGAAAGCAACGAGAATAGATTTTTAAAGTGAATTAGGCCATTATTTCAGCTATTGTTCATCAAAAGAGGGAGAAGAAGAAGCCCTGGGCAAAATTGCTGATGCCATCAAATGGAAAGGGCTGACTGGTAAGTTATAATTGCTTTGTGTGTAGCCAGTGGCCATGCTGAGGAGGGACAGGAAAACCCAGGGCTTCATCTTTATAAAAGAGGCAGCTCTTAAAAATTAGGTATCTTTGTATTTTCAGGGAATGACCACTATGATAAGGAATAAACAGCAAAGTCAGGGCTGGACATAATCTTCAGTAAAAAACAAAAACAAAACAGAGTTGTGCAAGGCTTCCTAAGAAAGTGACCTCTCCTCGTGCCCTACATGAAGACTGTTTACTTCCCCCATGCTTAGTTTTCAGGGAATGGAAGAAAAGTGGCCAATCTAACAGAAAGCAGTGTGTAAGCAAATACTCTTTCAAGCAGCATGTGAATACATGACACCAAGAGCGGGACAATGCTGTGACAAAAGCACCTTCTCCGTGTAAAAATATTCTAGGTATAAATCGCAGGCTGTACATTTAGGAAGCTCTCTTAATGCACAGGCAGCTGTCACAGCATTCAGCACATTATACATGGGATCAACTAACAAGCATTGCTAATTTTAGACCACATAGTATGTAAACACCAAATATCAAATTAGGTGTTTCAACTGGGAGGCTTTCAATGTGTTAGTGTGTGCTCATATATACAGGTGTGTGTGCATGTATTTGTGTATGTGTGTAGAGGTCAGAGGTCAACCTCAAATGTCTCCCTCAATTGCTTTTCCATCTGATTTTTGAGAAAGGTCTCTTGATAAACCTGAAGCTCATAAATTTGGATAGACTGGCTGGCTAGCAAGCGCCAGGGATCCCCTTGTCTCTGCTTCTTCAGCGCTAGGAAAAAGCTGGGTGGGATAGTGTCTTAGAGTTACTATTGCTGAGAAGAGACACCATAACCATGGCAACTCCTATAAAGGAAAACATTTAATTGGGTGGCTTACAGTTCAGAGGTTCAGTCCATGGTGGGACATGGTGCTGAAGAAGTAGTTGAGAGTCCTTATATCTTGCAGGCAAGAGGAAGCAGACTCAGACACTGGGCAGTATCTTGAGCATAGGAAACCTCAAAGCCTGCTACCATAGTGACACACTTCATCAAAACAAGGCCATACCCATTCCACCAAAGCCACACCTCCTAATAATGCCACTCCCTGTGAGCTTATGGGGAGCCAATTGCATTCAACCTAGCACATATGCATCAGTAACTCCAGGGAATGGAGCTCAGGTCATCATGCTTCCTCAAGAAGCATTTTAATGACTGAGTCATCTCCCCCACCCTTTCAGAGGTTTATGTTTTCTAATGGCCTCTCTGCATGTTGTCCATTTCTAACTGGTATAGTGGCTAACCTTCTAAGGCAGGACTTCTCGGTCTGAATTGAGCATAAGTCTTCCCCTCCCTTTCTCTCCCTCTCTTCCTTTCTCTCCCTCCCTCCCTTTCTCTCCCTCCCTCCATCCCTTCCTCCCTCCCTCCCTTCTCTTTTTAGAGCTAATATTCTATAGTTTGTCGGATGCTTTAGCAGTATCCCTGATCTCTAAAGACTAGATTCTAGTAGCAAATAATTTCTATCTTCCTATCTGTCAATATTACCAATAAAAACAAACTACCTATGTATATGGCATGGCTGTTCATTACTAGGTAAGATGATGGTATGAGACTTGGTTCTTTTCAAAGATATCGGTGTGTGTGTGTGTGTGTGTGTGTGTGTGTGTGTGTGTGTGGTGTGTTATGTGTGTATGTGAGGTTCTCCTAGCTTTTCTCATACAGTGGCCCTGATATACTTCAACAGAAAGGTGTGTCTGTGTGTGTGTGTGTGTTCATGTGTATATGCATTCTTGCATTTTTATAGGGTGTGTGTGCATGTACCTTTGTGTGTATGCAGAGGTTAGAAGTTGACATTAGGTGTCATACACAGGCTTTTTCTTACAGACAACCATAGAGTTGGCCTGGCCTAGCTACCTTGATGAGGCATGCATCATAGAATCCATGGCTCCTGGGGCAAAAAGGGCCTTCCAGTTTCTGAGAGACAAGCGCACTCCCTCAGACAGTGAAGCATTCAGGTCCTTTTGCTTTTCCTTAGTATGCTCCCCTAGAAGTTAAGCAAACACGGAAGCTTGACAGGACAATTGGTCTTAGACATTAATCTTGGGTACCCTGTGTAGCTTGCAAACAGCACTTTATCTTGGTAACTACAACTGTATCGATCCTGGCAATTACCATTATATTCTGTTTCTGATAGAGGTATAAAAAGTCTGATTGCTATCAATAGACTTGTCACAGGCTCAGCTGTGCTGTGGCTCCTCCAACCTGGTCTGATTTTATTCCTTGGGGCTGTATTAGGTAACCTTGGCCCAGCAAGTAAGCACAGGGCACTCACACTTTTTCTCTTTTATTTTGAGACAGGGTCTCTGACTGAGCCTGGAGCTTATAGATTCGGCTGGACCAGTCGACCAATGAGCTCTGGTACTTTGCCTGTCTCCTTTCCTGCTCCCTCCAGCACTGGGTACCAGATTCCCACCCTTGTGGCCAGCTATTTATGTGAGAATTAGGGATCTAGACTCAGGTTCTCATACTTAACTAGCAATAAACTTGCTGAATGGGTCTTCTTCACAGGCCCAAGAGAGAATAGTTTTTAAAAATTACTTTAGATCTGGGAATGGTGATGCATGTCTATAATATTAGCATTTATGGGGCAGAGAGACAAGACAATCATGAGTTCCAGGCCAGTCTGTGCTACCTAGTAAGACCTTATCTCAAAAAAATCAAAATTACTTTAAATCACTAAGTTTGGGCAGTGATTTGTTCCACAGTAGTAGATAATGAAGACATTTAGGTGAATCATCTATTCATATATATATAATGTATATACATATATATTAAAGAAACCCTGGTATTGATTGAAATTAGGATTAGTCCATAATATTGATGCCACCCCACCCTTCTCAACCACAGACAAGCATCCTATGAGGATAAAGAACCTCAACCCTCCTGAGGTATATTAGGAACAAAACAAGATTATCAAAATGCACTATTCCATCCCTTAAGTCCCATCCTCTTCCTCCATGCCACCATCTTCATCACTCACCCCCACAAACAGCATGCTATTGATTTATGATGTGGCAAGCACTGTCAAACTGAATCAATTAACATTTCCGAGCCATTTTCTTTCTCACCAGCAAACCACTTTCAGCTGCTAGAGACACATGAACTAAAGGCCATGGGTTTAGTTCTATTTTTCAAGCCACATGGGTACAACCACCTGCTACAAACAAGAGAACTGTAAAGGTCAGACTGTAATCTAAAAGTCATCTCCAGTATAATTGCAGACTCTGCACAATGATATCCCCTGGAATTAAATGACTTTAACAGTTCTAGAACAAGATAAATGAGTTAGCTTTTATTTTAAACAGCACTATATCGGCAAAGGAAGATCTGTGGGTACAAATACAAATCCAGCCAACAATGTAGTGGTCAGGATTGTTGACTGTTCAAAGCTTTTGTATGAGTTAGGGTTCTCTAGAGTCACAGAACTTATAGAATAAATTTCTCTCTCTCTCTTTCTCTCTCTGTGTGTGTGTGTGTGTGTGTGTGTGTGTGCACACGTGCACGCGAGCACGTGTGTGCATGTGCTATGTCCATTATTTATATAGGAGTTTATTGGAATGATTTACAGGCCACAGTTCAACAATGGCTTGCTGGGAGTGGAAAATCCAAAAGTCTACTGGTTTCTCAGTCTCATGAGGCTGGATGTCTCTGCTGGTCTCCTGTATATGCTGTAATCTGGAAGAAGCAGGCTCCAATGCCAGTGAAGGAATAGATGTACTGACAAGGTGAGGACAGGTTTGCAAAGAACGAACACACTCCCTTCCTTCTCATTGTCCTTCCAGCAGACGGTGTGTAGGCACTTTGTCGGATCGGGTCAGACAGGTATTCTGGCACTCGGGAGCCACAGAATACTGAGTGTTACACAGCTCAGATGGAAAGGTATCCTGGAGCTCGGGAGCCAAGGACCACCACAGGTTGTTGTAAGTTTAGCAGCTAACAGCCCTGCCTCAGGGAAAGGCTTCCCCAGTGTATTGGCTCCGCTCTGGCAGGACAGGGTCTTCCAGCTAGGGATGTTTGCCCAGTGTAGCAGTTTTTCTCAGCAGAAAGTTTCTCTGGCGAAGTTGCTACATCTCAGCTCTGCTCCCAGAGTGTAATAATTCCGCTCTGCTACAGGAAGGTTTCCCCTGGCAAAAGTGTTACAGCCCTGCTTGCTCTGTTCTGCCCAGGGTGGCCTCTGCTCTGCCACCACAGCAAAAGAAGGTCTTCACCCAAAGCTCATCCAAGAGGTTTATTGGGAGGGAAGAATCCAGGAGAGTGGCTGCCCTCTGCCAGAGTGGCAGAGGACAGCCGGGTAGCGGGAACCGACACAGGCTGAACAGATACAGGGTTTATATAGGGCTTCCAGGGTGGGGATTGATCTAACTCAGATTGGCTAGAGCTCTGCTTGAGGGTTGGTTAGTTTTCTGCACAGGATTAGGGTCCCATTTGGCTCTGGTTTCAGGGTCAAAGTGTGTTTCTTTCTTTGGTCCTTCTTAGCCTTTTGGCTCCAATTTTAGGGCCAGGGTGCATTTCTTTCACTGACTCTGATTCCAGGGGCAAAGTGTGTTCCTTTGGCACTGGTTTCAGGTTCAGGGTATATTTCTTTGGTTCTGGTTGCAAGGCCAAAGTGTGCTTCTTTGGCTCTGCTCAGGGTATGTGCCTTTAACTGGTCCTTTTTCCCTATACTGTGTGGCCCAGATTAAGGTTGTGCCTTCCAGCCTCAAGATCCGGATTAAAAGCATGTGTCATCCAGTCTTAAGATCAGGACCAAAGGCATGTTGTCTTCTTGTCTCAAGGTCTGGATCACAGCTGTGTCCTCCATTTTTGGACTATAGTTCATTACAGATCTAGTCAAGTTGACAACCAAGAATAACCATCACAGTTTGCTTCTAGAGCATAATTTCTGTTACTATATTTATCTTGTCCTCGCGATTTTTGAGTTCACCATGCTGTATCACTATATTCAAGACTGACAGAAGACCAAAGGTAAAAATGGGCAATGATGGAAGGTTTCTCCTCATTTCTCATTGCATGAAGCTGTGTGGCTGGCTATGTGAGGACGCATGGGAACCTGGGCCTGGTGACCCATGCTGACAATCTTCATGTTTAGGAGACTGAAGCAGTAGTATCATGGAGCATTAGTGATCAGTGGGCACATAGAGTTCCAAGCCAGGCTGACTGCAATGTGAGAAAGCACTTTTTGCAAAAGTGTATGTTTGGGGGTGCATTTGTGCGTGGGTGCGTGCATGCGTGCGTGTGTGCGTGAGTGTGTGTATGTGTGTGTTATAGCCATCATACTCAAACTCTATCGATCCAAAGACTGTATGTGTGTTATAGTCATCTTACTCAGACTCTATCAAAAGGCAAAAAAAGAGATGCCAATTGGGATTGGGTGCTGTGTGCAATATTTGACATGGCAAAAATGACCATTTATCCCAGTCAAATATTTGCAAATACACCAACCAATAAAATGTACATTACATATACAAAGGCCCCTGTATACTCATAGCCTCCGCCACCCAATTATACCTACTTAACACATACATCCCAGTTTCCAATGTTACATGACTCCTCCCATTATACAGAATCTACAGAATAGTCAGTCGTTCTTCTATATCCGTGGGGGACTAGTTTTAAAGTTGCTTTCAGATGACAAAACAGCATGGTATTTACATACAACCACACACAGCAGGAAGATCTGAGTTTGGATCCACAGCACCCAGGTAAAAAGCCAGCTGCACACACCTGTAACTCCAGTACTGGCTTGGGCCGACACAGGAAGGTCAATGGGGCTTGCTGGCCTGCCAGTCTAGCTGAAAAAAAAAGAAAGGAAAAAAAAAAGATGAGCTCCAGGTTCCGTGAGAGTGGGAGAGTGACACAGTGCCATCCTACAGTTTCTGCAAGCATATCTTGGGCATTGTG